TTGTATCTGTTCTAAATATTCCTTAGAGAGATATTTTTCAAGTTTTTAATACTCTTATCAACATATGAATGGACAAATATGCTTTATGCAAATGTTCGTTTATTATGATTTGAACAATGACTAATATTCTCCTGAATATTAAACACAACAACCTGGAATCTCTCTCTCTCTCTCTCTCTCTCTCTCTCTCTCTCTCTCTCTCGGCAGGAGCGGGGCTGAGCATCAGCTGTGTGCTGGGCTTGCTGTTTAAAACACCTTGTTTTTTATCCATATCTCTCCTAGAATCTCCCACCATCCAACCAACAACAACAACAACAACAACAACAACAACAACCAACAACAACTGATCTCCTCTTTCCTCAGGGGTCTCTGTTCTCCTCTTTCCTCAGGGGTCTCTGATCTCCTCTTTCCTCAGGGGTCTCTGTTCTCCTCTTTCCTCAGGGGTCTCTCTCCTCCTCTTTCCTCAGGGGTCTCTGATCTCCTCTTTCCTCAGGGGTCTCTGATCTCCTCTTTCCTCAGGGGTCTCTGAGGGGTCCTCTACCCTGGAGGGGTATTTATTAGTTTAGCTCAGACTCTAAGGCCCCGTCCACACGGAGACGATATCAGTTGTATCCGCTAACGTTCTCTATCGTATAGACGGCTCGTCCACACGAGGCCGACACGGAGCCGCGGCTTCGGAGCCCGAATCCGATTCACTTTGAAACCGGCTCCCGAGGTGGGTCGGTCTGAGGACCACACGCTTGCAGCTCCGTGTGTTTGCCCGATACGACCATTTCCTGAATCGATGACGCCATAGCCCCGCCTCTTCCTACCTCTCCTGCTCACCCCGCTTCAGTGCTGATGCGTTTCGCCAACAACAACAACAACAACAACAACAACAACAACAAAGGCGGATCACAGGGTTGCGTTCGTGCTCCAGACGCTACTGACCATGCTACAGATGTTAGTGCCTACAGCTCCTCGACCACAACCATCAGCAACACGTGGACCTGGAGAACTACATGAACTAGCTAGTTTGTTTGTTTGTTTATGCCCATGCTCGGGGGTCTTATTCGCTGCTTTTGGTGTATTTTGTGGCGGAGGTACAGCGCCACTTACAGGCCCGGCATATGTACTATAGCGCCTCCAGAGGGTCGAGCGGTTTCGTTTGGATGGACACATTTCTTGAGCCGATTCCGTGTGGACAGAAGACTGTTTTTAAATTGGTTTCTGTTCCAAATCGGTTTCGTCTCCGTTTGGAAAATGGCTAATCTAATAAATAAAGCTGCGGTGTGGCTCCTCCAGACTTCTTACATTTAAGTTAGTTTGAATTAAAATGTGAAATAAAACATATCTTTTCAAACTCAATCGGCTTGGCGTTAGAAATCTGTGTTGCGGGTCCTAACGTGCCGTAACAGTAATATATATATAAATATAAGATGAAAGGGTCCTCACCTCCCCCTGCAGGCTGCTCCTCTCCTCTCTCCTCTCCTCCCTCGCCTCCTGCAGCTCGGCCTCTTTGCTCGACAGCTTCTCCTGAAGGACCAGCAGTTGCTGCAAGAAGAACGTTTAGATCTCTCACTAAATAATGACTTTTACTCAAAATCTCAAAATCCTAACTTTGTCTCAACACCGTTTAGCTCTGGGTTCAGGATTAAACGTGACACGATTCAGGGCGTACCTGCTGCATGGAGAGCATGTTCTGCTGCAGCAGCTGGATCTGAGCCTCAGCGCTGTGTGTGTGAGTGTGTGTGTGCGCGGGCGTGTGTTCGTTCCTCAGCAGCTCCACCTCGTTCCTGTAGGCGTCGAGCTGCCACCGCAGGGAGTCGTTCTCCTCCTTCAGCGAGGGGGGGTCACACACTCCTGCAGGAGGGAGGGGAGGTTATTCTTGTTTTAAGGCAATATGGGGACCTATGATAAACTACAGTAGGATCTGTGTGTCGCCAATATAAGATGCAAGGAAGGGACGAGATGTCCTTTCACAAAGTTAAAATGGTATTAAATAAAAATGAGATTTACGCTGTGGACGACTGAAACAACTTTATTAATAACACTCTGAGGCCTCAAACACAAAGTGATCACATGATACCGTTGAGCTCGCTGCGCAGCCTCTTGCAGGGACTCTCCTCCGAGTCGTCCTCAGACATCTCCATCTCCTCCTCCCTCCGGATGCCCATGACCTCCTCGCTGTGAGCGCTCCTCAGCTCCTGCACCCAGACAGTCATATATTAATATATGATATACACGGAGATCTCCTCATGCTTTCTTCCAGCAGACACAGCGTCTCAAAACGTCCTCCTGTCTCTACATGAACGTCCTCTCTTCCTGTCTTCACTTTCCCCTTGGTAGCGTAATAGTTGATTCACAGCTTTTGGATTCAGAATTTTTCTTCAGGACCTCACGGGAAACAGTGTTTGCTTTTCTCCTGAAGCTGAGTCGGTCCGATGCTTCAGGTTATGTGTTGATTCTTCCAATTAGGCTTTTTTAAAATCCTCTAATTGCTGATTCTTTTTTCAAAATCTCAAAATACAGATTTATCCTCCTGCAGCCTCTAACAGAGGAAGCTGTAACACCTCCCATCACCTCAGAGCAGCTACTGTCCTGTGTCCTCCTGCAGCCTCTAACAGAGGAAGCTGTAACACCTCCCATCACCTCAGAGCAGCTACTGTCCTGTGTCCTCCTGCAGCCTCTAACAGAGGAAGCTGTAACACCTCCCATCACCTCAGAGCAGCTACTGTCCTGTGTCCTCCTGCAGCCTCTAACAGAGGAAGCTGTAACACCTCCCATCACCTCAGAGCAGCTACTGTCCTGTGTCCTCCTGCAGCCTCTAACAGAGGAAGCTGTAACACCTCCCATCACCTCAGAGCAGCTACTGTCCTGTGTCCTCCTGCAGCCTCTAACAGAGGAAGCTGTAACACCTCCCATCACCTCAGAGCAGCTACTGTCCTGTGTCCTCCTGCAGCCTCTAACAGAGGAAGCTGTAACACCTCCCATCACCTCAGAGCAGCTGACACATACAGTGATATCTAAACATCCCTCGCAGATCAGACTCTAACCAGCGGCCCTCCTCCTGTTGGTCCTCGTTACCCAGATCTGACTCCTCATGAATAATCTATCACACAGGCTGTTTCCATGGCAGCGCCTCACGCTTCCCAGGAAGAGGAGGCGATGCCTGTAATGTCATCAGGGTGTACATGAAAGCGTCTCCACAGTTTGATACCAACCTCACACTGCTTGTGCCAAATGTCTATGTTCTTGCGCTGAGCTTTTGAGAAATGGTCCCATGCCTTTTGCCTCGTGGCGGCGGTGAAAACGCCTGTGATCTGCTCGACTTTGGGGTGAAGGAGGAGGAGGAGGAAGAGGAGGAGGAGGAAGAAGAAGAGGAAGAGGAGGAAGAAG